TCACCCCCCGACACTTCTCTCCTCAAATTTTGAAGACACTTCACCCTTCAAGACACTTTACCCCCCAAAATCTGGAAGACACTTCACCCCTCATCCAATTTTTTTAATTATTGTTCATTTAATATTTAAAGAGAAAAACCAAGACAGAAATATCAATAATAATATTTAATTAGGTTAATAAATGCACGGATTTATATTACAAGGATCGGACACTTTCGTTTAGCTTAAAGTCCCGTCGCGCGCATGCGCGGAATCAGATAAAGGTGGACAGAATGAGATGGTGGAACGCGCGGGAGTGCGAAATATGACAGATTTTCACAAGAGTATGTGGTGTTATTGCAGCTTTGTAAAAATTATACACATATGAATGTATTGATACAGTTATTTTTGTGTCGGGCTAAAGTATTAATATATGAAAATATGCATAGAACGATGCAAACGCTTGGTTAAAAAATACCTAATTTAAAAAAATATTCGCCTATTGTTTAGGCAAACTCTCTACACTTTGGCGCCGCTTTTACTTCAGGCACGAATTATTACGCGCGATTCAGAATAAGATAATTATTTTTTTAAAAGGATTTTAATGGTGGCATTGAAAAAAATGTTTCTTGATTGCCTAAAAAAACTTTTAAAGAATTCATGTTTGAAATGTGTCTTTATTTCTGGTGAATTTATTTCGCAAATTTTGATTTGTACATTTTTTATTGATTACCTGTATATTAGTATAAATATGGTAAATATTCTAACTCAATTAGTGAATTAAATATATTTTCAGATCATTCTAGACAAACATTCACATATAGATGAATTCATTAGATTGGCAAGGAGAGAAACTTTTATTGGCATAAAGAACGGCTGTTTTATAAATTATTTTTTATTTTTGACAACAGATTTTTTTCATAGTTATCCTTCACAATTCCACGTCAAATGATTATTTATCACATGTTTTATTTTCATTATTTTTCAAAAAAAGGACTATACAAATTTCCTAGTTGTATATTTTTCAATTTTCATTTAATAAATGTTAAATAAAGAAAATAGATTTAGATTGGTATTTATTATATGCCTCTTCAGAATCATTTTCTTACCACACACATGCCATAGACTGTAGTTAAAGACCGCGCACATACAAAATATACCATTCAAATTCTATTTGTTCTTTGAAGATTGAGTGTGCAATTATCACCTGTAACCTGGTAGTAGAAAGTTTGAAAATAAAGTTTTTTTTAATTATCACTTACCCCCATTCAAAAGTAATTAAATCTCTGAAAGAATTTAAAGCGATTGTAAAAAAAATAATCAAAAGCTACTTTTATTTTCGCAAAATACTTAATCACAACTGTAAAGATTTTTTTTGTTTTTTTCTAGACGTTACAATTAAAGTATCATAAATATCTTTCTAACAGGCATTCAAATAAAAAGAATATTAAATATACGGATTAAAATATACGAGTGACATTAAAAAGGCCGGAATCCAGACAGCACACGAGCAGAACTTTACTGTTAAGATGATTGTCTACTTCACTGGCACCGACATTTGAAAAAACAGATTTACAAAAAATAATAATTATATAAATGATGAATCGAAATTTAAATATTCTATTGAATATAGGCAATATTTGACAATGTCGGCAATATTTTGTACTAAAAAAAAGTGAATAAATTTTCTTCACGAGTTGAGCGAATTGTAAAGGCCGCAATACAATTACCCGTAAAACAATTGTGCGTTAATAAATTTGACTACATACCCAATAAATCTTAAATATGCTATCTTTGATCATCTGTGAATAACTTACATCGCTTCTTTTTTATTTTGGAAACTGAAATTATTATGGTACCCGTAGTAATACCTGCTTTTTTTATATAAAAAATTTAAATTTACCTGCGGATTTCGTCAAGTTAATTTTTTTAATCGTCGTTGCCGGACAGATAAAATGTACCTTTTAAAAATAAATTAGATATTTGAATTAAACAAGTATTTTTCTTCAAAATAAACTTTAAATTTCCAAAATCGGATAATAAATGAAAAAGCTATATGGTATTTTGTAAAGTAGGTATCCGTTGCAAACGGGCATTTACGCTTAGCGCCGGCAGGGCCAAAAAACCCTTCTTTGTAGAGGCCGAATATAGGCTACTTCCCCAACCAAACTAGCCTCTTTTTTTCCCCAGTTTGGTCCTCAAAATTCCCCAGTCTTTTGAAAATTCCCATAGAATTTTAGAACAAAATTAAATGATGTTGTTGAATTAAGGATTTTTACTGCCTATTTATATTTTCCAGTGCTTTGCTTTAACCTATTTTTGAAGAACTTGTTAAAAGTTTGTGTTAAATTTGAGACCCCCTTTTCCAAAGTATGCCAAAATCATGCATATTTTCCCCAAGAAAAAGGCTGAGGCCCCTTCCCCAAAAATGGTGTTTTGGCCCTGGCCGGTAAATTATCGATTGATGTACCTTTATCGGGCGCACGACAAGATATTTAAGCATTTTTATAGGGTTAACTGGGAGTGTCCGATCCCTGTAATATAAATCCGTGATAAATGATCACAAATTATCACTAGATAACTGCAAAATTGGTCAATACTAATAAACTACAGAATGATATATTAATCAATCCACAAAGAATTACTAATCATTATAAATATTTACCAAAACGCAGTACTAATATAACTAAATGCAATAAAATCTTAAATTGCTAAACCAAATGGGCTAGGGTGGGTGGGCAAAAAAGACTAGAAACGTGATTTCGACTAAAAAATAAGTAACAGAATGGCGAGCAAGAGCAAAATAACCTATATATAGGTAATTAAACAACCTATCAATCACTCACCCATCAAAATGACCTTAATGTGTTAGAAAAGTGGGAGTTGGAGTAGTATATGGAATTTAACGCCTCCAAATGTCGAGTTATCCTTGTCACAAAAAGGAAACGTCCAAGCCGTCACAATATTACCTTCATGGAGTCCAGTTAGAATCAGTTACCTCAGCTAAAAACCTAGACGTGGACATATCAGAAAACCTTTCATGGGATTCCCACATAAACAGGACATCCCAGAAAGCTAACCAAACCCTAGGATTCCTAAGCAGAAATATTATGGTTAAATCTCAATCCATTAAGTCCATTGCTTACCAGACGTTAGTCAGACCCCAGCTTGTATATGGTTCGGAAGTAAGGTCTCCCCACACCAAAATATAAATTGATCAAATTGAAAATGTCTAAAGAGGAGCAGACCGATGGATCAAGCCAGATTATGGTCAGACCTCTAGGGTCACGGACATGCTTCACTCCCTTAAGCTTTGAAAACTGGAACTCAGATGTATAGATGCTTGGTTATCCCTTTTCTATAAGATTCACCATGGTCTGGTTGCTGTCCCAATTAGGGTTGGATACTGAGTCTGATAATCAGTACTTAGACCATTAACCGACCTCTGCCAACCTCGTTTCATAATTTACGGTTAAATACCGTTTCAAAAAGTACCGATATTTTGGTCGTGGTCAGAAATGTTCATAATTGAAGTCAAGGGAGATCACTACCGATTGCTCGCGGTAGCGGCGATCTTCGTATTTACAAAAACCTTAAGGAATAACATGCTGCAAAAATTCAAATACTTGTTACGGCATTTGTTAATCACTTTTTGATGTATTATTCTTAAAAACTTTTTTTTGCATGTTTTTCTTTAAACATTTCTGCAATTAGCATTTAACTATTTGAAATTTATAATAAACATGTTGTTGATGATGTCAACATCATGGTGGGTTCTAGACTGATAATTAAACAAATTAAAATAAGATTTCTATAGAAATAATGAGTACATAATGAATAATGCTGCTGAAACAACTGTAAAGTATCGAGTATCGGTATTGTTAAAATATTGTATCTTTTCATATGTTATGATATCGTATTGTATCGTTCAGTTCTTAATAACTATATCCAACCTAAATCCAGATTGAAAAATATTTGGCACCCCTCTATGGAACATCACTCCATGGCCATCCCTTATGTTATAGGTTATTCACAGCAACTTTAGACCATTAATAAATAATTCTCTTTCTTTCCTAGGACAGTATACTACTGGAACCTGTTACCACAAAACAGGCTATCCCCTGCAGTTGCCCTTCAGAGCAGTTCAGTGCAGCCATAGCTTTCATTTCATGCAGAACTCTGGTTGCCATGGCAACCAAAAGAATTTTTTTTTTATCTTCTTCTAAAAAACCAAAAGAGCTAGAGTTTAGATATTTGGCATGAAACATCTTCTAGTGAGTGTCTACCAAGTTTGTTCAAATAAAAGCCCTTGGGTCAAAATTGGCCCGCCCCAGGGGGTCATTGATTTTCCCTATATGCAAGAGCTAGAGCTAAGATACATGTATTAAGCATGAAACATGTTCTAATGGATGTCTACCAAGTTTGTTCAAATACGAGCCCTGGGGTCAAAATTGGCCCCGCCCCGGGAGACATTGATTTTCCTTAAATGTGTATAGCAAAAACTTAAAAATCTTCTTTGAAAAAACCCGAATAGCTAGAGTTTAGATATTAAGCATGAAACATTTTCTAGTAAGTGTCTAAAAAGATTGTTCAAATAAATGCCCTGGGGTCAAAACGGGCCCTGCCCCAGGTGTGTCATAGTTTTTAACTATATGTGTAAAGAAAAAACTTGAAAAAATCTTCTTTGAAAAAAGCCAACGAGCTAGACCTTAGATGTTTAGCATGAAACATCTTCTAATGGGTGTCTACCAAGTTTGTTCAAATAAAAGCCCTGGGGTTTAAACTTGCCCCGCTCCGGGGGCCTATATACAGTGAGCGACTTCAGGGTCATCATGGCCCTCTTGTTAATATTCTTTAAACCTCTTTGTAAACACCTTTTTTTAACTTTTTACGATTTTTGACCCGCAGACATGTCTACGTCCCTCTGAGGGGTTTGTCAATAACCGAAGATAGACATGCATGTTTATGTCTTGATTTGATCCAAAATTAATGTCAATCAAAACATATTAAAGAAATGTTAATAATTATCTTAAATTATTATATCAATCAAATTAGAAAATTTTGTTGCTTTATTTCTTGATATTTCATGTTATAATACTTTTTTTCTCTTCTCTTTTTAAGTTTACATGCATTGTATACATAAATTATGTTGTATTTTCTAGGACTGGAACTATGTGATGAGACGTGACATGCAGGTAAGTTTTTTATATATATATATACCAATGAATGATATGACACTATTCAGGACATTTTCACCCTATTATCAAAGGCTCCATTCCCAATCCACAATAGCCTTTAAAAAATAAAATTCCATAAAGCAACCCAAAAAATCAAACTGTTTCAGCTCTTAAGAAAAACTGAACTGTTGACTTGTTTCTTAAAAGGAGTGACAGGCTATATAGGACCATAGTAATATCTAAAAACTAAAAAGTAATTTACAGACTGGTATAAGGTAGATTTCCAACTTTTTAAAATTTCTCAAATTTCAGAGGATGTTGAATAATTTTTCCTAATGTATGCCAGGGCCTTTTCCCAAAATAGCTGGAAAAGACCCTGCTATTACTAGTTAATACAGGAAGCCAGTTTCTGAGCTTTAAAAATTACCTGACTATAATGTTAGCTTACTGAGTTTCAGTATTTAATACTGAAAGACCATTAATGAATAATACAAGTGTCATCAAAATAATAGTTGCAAATTTAAAGCATGATTTATCCATTACATAAAGTTTAAAATTTTACTTGCACATGTACCAGTATGTAGCTAATACAAATCTTGATTAAACCAAACATCTACCCAGTACCCACATTAAATGAATAGCTCATATCTTACCATTGTAGGAAATTATACCAGGGTTATATTTAGGACCATATGCTGCAGCAATGAAGTCAAAGGTAATTTTTTAATGTTTGTTATGAATTATAGTTATATTTTCCAAAAAGTTACATGGTATAATGTATTTTTTTCAAACAATAGTGGGAAAATATTACTAACGCTGGCATTTGTTCAACACACCTTCATTTTTCATTAACTACTTAGATATTTGCATGTAACTTCTCAGATGTCTTCATAATTGGAATCGCTATCCAAAACTCAGGTATGCATTCTGACTGAATAATGACCCTCTCTGAACTTGAAAAGTAATTGGCTAAAGTTACAGAAATTTGAGAGAAGACAGATAACTTGAAAACAAGAAACATGTAGGTGACTCCATTTTTTTTTACAGCTTAAAATGTTTCTGTTACCATATTCTAAGATCATGCAAAGTTTATATAGATTCATTTGTGTAGTTATCTTTCTTCTATATACATGTATTTATATGTAACCCTTGCATACGCCTTTAGATTATTTAGTTTCATCAGAATAATGCAAGGTTTAGTTATATAGGAGTATAATAATAATTATCATTATAGTAAGACTAAGTATATGTTATATTTTTTTTGCTATCAGAAGAGCTTTTAAATTATAAATACATGTTTATTGTTGATTTTTACTTTTCAGAAAATGAGTTTACAGGACCATAATATCACTCACATAGTGTGTATACGACAGGCTATAGAGGCTAACTTTATCAGACCAAATTTTCCTGATTTATTCATAGGTATATTGATGATATATATACAAATGTATAAGTAGATAAAATGCATAATGGGTAATTATAATACTATGACCCAAAGTTTCAATACCACAACTGGTTATATTTTCACTTTTAAGACAATATTTATGCCAAACAAACTTTTCAAAGAAAAAGTCAAAGAGCTATTGTCAATGACCCCCCCTTTAATTTAAGCCAATTGAAAAAAAGAAATGGAAGAAAAATTTAAAAATAAATTAAAGTTTAGGTTTAAATGGCCCCATTAATTCTTTTAATAAAAAAACAATTTTTAAAAAGTTTATATTTTGGTTTTTTTCCCTTGGGAAAAGTTTCTTGGCCACACGAAATTTTTCCAGGTCAAATTTAAAGGGTAAAAGGGAAAAAACAAAAAAATACAACTTTTTCTTAAAAAGCAATGAAAAATTGAATTTTTAAAAAAATTCTTCAAAATAAGAAAAAATTTTGATTGTTAACCCTGCCCACCCCATTCTCAGGTTAGGGTTTCTGGGCGACTGAAAACCTTGAAATTAATTAAAATATAAAATTTTGGCCCTTTAAAAAGGTTTGGAAACTTTAAACCCTTTTGTTGATGCCCCTTTTTAAAGTTGATGGGGCCCCAAAAGACCCCCAAATTAAAAGTAAAAGTCATATTGTACAGCTAATATGTTTTTTAAAAATTTTTATTTTCAGTTTATTTTGGGGGTTAAAAAAATTTGGGGAGATTTATCAACAAAAATTAATAAAAGAAAATACCAAAAAGGTAAAAAACTTCCAAAAATTTCCCCCTCCCCAAATCAAAAAATATAGGGAATGTTTTAAAAGATAAAATCAATATAAATTATGTTTGTATTTAAATTTACTTTGTTTTTGTTTTAGCGAATTTTTTGGGCTTACTTTTTAGCCCCTAGATAAAAAGAAATATGGAGAGCGGGTTCCCTCTAATTAATTTTTTATGGTATTTTTTTAAAAGGGATTTTTTTTGGGAAAAAACCAAAACCGGGGCCATCTGGATTTCGGGTCAGACATCTGGATAATAAAATAAATGTGTTTGATTTTGAAAAAAGGGAAAGGCACATGTTTTAAAAAAAAAAATTAAACCTCCGGGCCCTTTTTTTTTCAAATGGAGTTTATTGAACCGGGAGTTAAAGAAAAAGCATTTTTTTTGGGTTTTTAAATTAAAATTAAAAATGGGCCGTTGTGTTTTGGGAACCTACTTTTTTTTCTAAAATTTTAATCAGGAATAAGTGAAAAACGTTACAGTTGAAAAAAATTTCAACTGACAGCAAAAACCTAGATAAACCAGCATTTTGGCCATTTGAAATTTTTATTGGTAAATGACATAAAGTCAATGCCAATATGTATAACTATGACCATGTGTAAAGAAAAACAAGTATTTCAGCTCATTTCTTCTAATATAATAACTATTGCTCTTGTCTATAAAGTAAGAGTTTATAATTATAATGTAATTAATTTATACATGTATATATAATAACAGATGCGAGATTTTATTGATGGTTGCTATGAATGTGGAGGTAAAGTGTTAGTCCATGGTAACGCTGGTATATCTAGAAGGTTAGTTTATCTCTTATACATTATGTGGCTTACATGATATGTCAAACACAAAATGTCTTACATGATATGTCTTATATGATAAGTCCTACACAAAGTGTTTTTACTGATATATAATGCTTTTTACAAAATTGTTCAATACATGATAATGTTTAACTTCACATAAGAATTAAACTCATAGGACACATTTCCCCACAAAAATTTCTGTAAAATTAAAAATTTCAAATTTAAGAGTTAACATAAAAAGAAAATGTCATACAAAGATATAATTTTTCACTGTTTTCACGATATATGTTAAAATTAAATTTAATATGAAATGGGGTTTTTACAGTATGTTTTTAAAAAAAAGATATGTTTTTAAAAAAAAAACTATATATACCTTTCAAAATTAAATCTTACTTAATTGTCTTTTAAATAATATGTCTTAAATTTTTTGTTAATATGTTAGCTTTTTGGCTTACACAATTAAATTTTCATAAGTGTTTTCATAATCGACATACGATATTTTTAATTTTCTAAAAAAAGACCTTTTTAAAATCAAAAAAAATTAAAATAATGTTTAAAGGTTTTGTTTTTTTTAGAAAAATTTTTGCCCCGTCAAGACAAAAAACAACATAGTGTGGTTTTTCGGAAAAAAAAGGGAAGGGTCCCGAAAACCACCTGCCCCTTTCCAAACCTCTTACAAAAATAGAGGTGCGCGGGTTTTAAAACCCGGTTAAAAAACCGGTTTAAACCCCGGGGCCCCAAACCATTTGGGTTGTACGTACCCCGGTTTTAAAACCTGGAAAAAAAAAAACCGGTACTTTTAAGGGGCTAAAAAGGCAAATTTTAAAGGGAAAATTTAAAAAGTGCACCAAAAAAAAAAAGAAAAATTTCTTTAAAAACTAAAAAGATCAAATGTAAAAAATGTGCCCAGGGGTTTTAAACTAAAAAAGGGTTTTTTTTTTTAAAGAAATTTACGTTAAGGGAGCTAAAATAAAGATTTTTTAAAAATAAAATTATCCAAAAAGGGAAAAAAAAACAAAAATCCAAACCGCGTGATTTGGACCTCAAAAAGAAAATTTTTGCGGGAAAAATATGTCTGCGCCGGGGCTTAAAAAAAAAGGCGTAAATTGTTTAAAAATTGCCCCCGGGGTCGCCTTGAATCTTTTTTCTGGGGGTCACCCCCTTTTTATCCGTGGGCTGTATAATTTAAAATTTAGTTTTTACACCAAAAATATTTTTGTTCGTAATAAAAATAAGTCAAAAACATAAAAAGTTTAAAGCGAAGTTTAAAGGAAAACAAGGTATAAAAAAAATTTTAAAATTTTTTTTTATAAAAAATTTTTTTTAAAAAATTTTCGGGACGAGGGAAATTTTAAAAAAATTGCCCGATCGGTCAAAAAAACGAAAAACAGTGGGGAATTTAAGTGCGGCCCCGTCTTAAGTTCCATGGAAACAACATGGGGGCGTTTTATGCTTGTTTTAAAAAAAGGGGGAAAGCAAAAGTCCCCATGTTTTTTTGGGGGGGGGATTTTTTCTTTTAAAAAAATTTAAAAATGATGGGGTTATTGGGAAGAAAAAAACGTTGCCAATTTTGCCCCTTAGTACGGTCAAGTTAAGTGCAAAACCGGGGGGGAACATCCCAAAAATGACTTGCTCACATTTTGTCGAATTTATTCCAAAAAGCCAACAACAACAAAAAAAAGTTGTGTTCGCAATTTTCTGGGAAAAAACTAATGTTGTAAAAAACAGCTTTTTTGAAAACAGTTTAATAAGGGCAAGGGGAAAACATTTAGTGCCCTTTACCCCCATCAGCTTCTTGGGCCCTTTAACAGGGAGACAAATAACACACCATGTTTAGTAAAAAAAATCTATATAGACCCGGGGCTCTTTCCCAAAAAAAAATTTAAAACACTGAAAAAAAATTTCAAAATTTTTTGTTTAAAAAATTTTTCGCCCTATAGGGAAAAATTGAGGGGGAAAAAATTTAAAAAGGGCCTTGTTTTAAAGGGGTTGGACCCCAGGTATTAGGTTCGGACCGTTAGGAAACAAAGTTTTCAGGCGGTTATCATATATCCGAAATTGTACAAATGATGTTATAACATGGTAGTCACATCCAGTTACAGTCTTTCATCAAGCAAGGTGCTTAACATATTTCAAATCAATTTTCATCCACAATCAAGTTAATCATGCCATATTTAGAATTGAAATAATAGAAATTACTATGAAATATAAAGTTGAAAATTAATATGTGTATAAAAAATGTTTCACTTAATCTAAGAATTTGAATATTTCCAAGCCTGAATAATATACCGTCTGGTGGGTTAAACAGATAAAAAAAAAATTAATAAAAAACTTGTGAATAGTTGCAAAGCTTAACTTAAACTAACTATAAATAAAATACAAGTTAATTCATTAATAATCTAACCTAATCAAAATGTCATTCAAAAACTACAATAAAGAAATATTTTAAAATTTGCAAAACAGAAGGTAAAATAAATGTAAAAAAATTATTACAGGTTGCTTTGACAAGTGACGGCTGGACATCAAGGTCTACCGAGTCGTATATTACAATAACAGCAACATTTATTGATGTCAACTGGGAGTTGGTAAATTTAGTTCTCCAAACACGACCATTACCCGAGAGTCATACAGGTAATTTAATAAAATAAATATAGAATATGATTTAATTTAAAATAATTAACTAAGATTAATTATTTTTTCTTAATGTTTGCAAAAGTTTAATTTACAATCAATAATAGATATTTAAATTTAATGGCATTAGTAAAATTTCACAAATAAACAAACCCTGGACTTATCACGATCTTTTTCTAGTAAATAACTTGATTATAAAAATAAATAAACCATTATTGTAAGTATTTATCACAGATATTTTCATTGCGAAATTGCAGGGTCATTTACAATTCAAATTCACAAATACCTCTCTATCACAGATTTTTCAGTAAAATATGTATTAAAAAAAAAAAGTAAGTTTAATTTTATTTTTAAAAAAAATATTTTTGGAAATTTGCGAAAAAATATCTCTATCTTATATCACAATCATTGTAATTTAAAATTTTTTTGTATTTTTTTTTAGGGGACCACATAGCAGATTTATTCAGGGGGCCGTACCCTGAAGGGAAAAATACCAGTCATGGGAGGGAAATAAAATTGTGTCAATAATCCCGCAAATATGTTTAAAGCAGGAAAAAATAATAGTGAAACTGTTCACATTGGTTGTTTGCGCACACTATATCTTGCTGTTCGGTCTCTAAAAGTGAAAAGTGTTTAAACATTTGCTTGCTCAAATCGAATATGAAAATTTTTTAATTCGTAGTGCTGAGCACTGCAGTTCTAAAAATCAAAGGGCTGAATTGTTAGGGTTACCAAATTAAAAACTGAAAATAGAGTTTGCACAAGAGGGAAATTCTGCGTTTTGATATGATAACTAGTTTTTTTGGGAAGCTCCAAAGGGCAATAGTAGCAATGTTACAAAAAAAGTGGGGGCACATAAAAGAAGGGCGGGCCCCAGCATGATAACGAAAAATTTATTTTTGCGCAGGATGTGTCTAGAAATTAAAATGAAAAAATTAGAAAGGGGGATTTTTACAGTTTCGTTATATCCTTCATTACAGTTAAAATCAGATTTTTTTTAAAGGGGGGGATTATACTATTGTAAAATAAAGAATACAGGGAGATTATTAAAAAAGAATTCCGAAAAGAGTGATTTTAAATGATCTGAAATTTGATAAAAGGAAAAAAAACGTTACCTTATTTGTCAGTTGAAAAAAGGGTTTCTGTGTATTCTAATTTTACAAAAGAAGCCATCCACATCTCTACAGTAGCTCCCGGTATCAAGGTAAAGACAGAGAATGTGTCCCCTGTCATGAGTTACAGAGAAGCGGCAGCAGCAGCAGAACCACCATTACCTAGTCTGCCTTGTTTAGAGGGTTCACCTGACACTTTGATCTGTACATCAGAACATGAGAAAACTGACAGTACAGTAACTACAGTCTCTACTCCAGTGAAGTCAGGTTTAAACGAAATCCTTGGTGATGTTTTTGTTACACATATTGAACCAGCCAAGTCTGTGCAAGATTTGGCGGAAATGGAAGTTAATCAGTATAAAGTTGAAGCACCAATTAGTCTTGGGGAAAATCCATTACAGTGGTGGAAGCAACGGGAAATAAGGTATCCCATATTATCAAAATTAGCTAAATGCTTGTTATGTATACCTGCCACAAGTGTTCCCTCGGAAAGGGTTTTTTCAACAGCAGGTGATATCGTTACTGCTCAAAGAGCTAACTTGAAGGCCAAACATGTGGATCAGTTGATATTTCTAAAGAAAAACTGGACTTGAATTAAAACAGTTATAAAATGTTAATGTTAGAGCATATGATATTGAACATTTAAGTGACCAGTTTTTCTGTTTTACTGTTTTGTTAATGTTGGAGCATATTGAACATTTAAGTGACCAGTTTTTCTGTTTTACTGTTTTGTTTACAACTAAGTGTTGGAAATGGATTTCAAAACTTGGAACTATGTAATTAAGTAAAAGTGTTGCAGTCTAACTGATAATCCCCTTCATAGCTACCCCTTCATTTACAAAATTTATGTATTAGTTGCTATGTGATGGACAATTTTGGACATGTTAAAAATATGTGACAACTATGTGATTGACAGAGAGAATTGGGTATTGAAACCCTCTTTATTATAAAGTACATTTGTGACAATTTTGTGCAAGTGATGGGTTGTTTTCATTTAATACTAGTCAATGAATTGTTGTTGTTTACTTTCATAAAACTGTTTCTAGTCATAAAATAAACCTTTATTAAAGTAATATAAATAGTTTATATAATTAAAGTTTTATTAAGTTCCAGTATTGTTACTTTTATGTTTATTGATGATGGCTTGTAAAGTATAAAGCATTGTTAGATTTTCAACATAGATATTTGGTGGTATACCGTGGTTTAAACCGTGGTTTTCAGTAAAAAACCATGGTATACCGCGGTATTTTTTTCTAGGCGGTACCCAACTCTAATTACAAGTAGAGAAACTGACAGCTTACAGCATGAATCCTGATCAGATTGTGCAGATGCGTAGGCTGGTCTGGATCCATGCTGGTCGCAAACGCACTATGTTGTTTTTGTCGTGACGTGGCTCATTTAATTATGAATGAAGTTTCAAGTTTAGTTAAATTTTGTATAATATAGCAAAGTTGGTTTATTCCAGTGCTGCACTTGTTATAGGATATATCATGGAGAAATATGGACTGACATACAAGTGAGTGATATATTTTATATTTTTCACTTATGTCTTACCCTCCTTTATTTGTATAATCAACCATGCCAAGATTATCTGGACTTTGATTATGGGATGTTCTATGATATAAATGTTCCAAATAAAGAAGTCAAGAGTACAGAGTCTGGTAGGATTGTACAATGTATTGATGGAAGAGGCATATTCTCTATTACTACTGTCATGTAGTTAATCCTTTGCCAGCTTTTTATATTATGTGTAATTGATTTGCTCTGCTTTGAATAAATTTATTTGTTTATGAGGCATAATGTACCTTTAAACTTCAAACGAACTGTTGGAACTCAAAGCAGGTTTGATTACACAGAGTCAGGATGCTAAGAGCTATGAGGTATGTGATTCATCATAAAAGAGTCCTTAATGTTCTTCAGTAACAGGATAGGTTTCTGGTTTTTGTTTTAACCTTCTGCTACAGTTTGTTACGAGTTAGGTCATATTCTTATAAAGGTATAGATGTGAGTATAAAAAAAATAAATAATAAAGAAAAATTTCATGAACTTGTGATATTATTTCAGGAATGCCTATGTGTATGTACAACAGAGAAGATTTTGTATCAACCCTAATGAAGGTTTCTCACAACAGCTGATGGTACACTTGTTTCTTTAATCTTTGTATTAAAACTCAGACATTTCAAGTAAGCTAAAGAATTTATAAACTTTCTATGTAAAGTTATGATATTTCAAAAACTGTCACATTCTGTCTATGTAACTTGACATGTTTAATATTAAGCTAGCAGTAGTCATTGTCGGTCAGAAGCTTTACATATCTTATGTGAGTTTATCGGTATCATAATGAATAAATATTGACTTGAATTATAGATATATCATGTATATGCTTAACATTAAATGCTCTATGAAAATTTTTGGACAAGATGGAATGAGTTTGATGATTAATGAAAAAAATAATAATGGGAAAACAAATGGTTCCAAATGTCAGTAGTTGTATAATGAAGTCAAACTTTACAATAATTAATGCTTACAACATATTAAGGTATTTGCAGCAGTAAATAAACATATCTTTGAAGAGAATGGTGATTCTGCTTTGTGTTCCTCTTTGTATTGTCTATATTCATAAAGTTATAAAGATATTTGACAGATTAAATGGCTGTATATAAATGGTTATTTGTATATATATTGCAAAAAAACATTTATATATACCATTTATATATGGCTATTAACTTGCCAGGAATCTTTATAACGAATTTATAATGAAGCAAATTTTTTAGAGGAAAATTATGTGATTTCTTCATAAATTGACAGCAGCAATGTTTATAATACTATAGAAATGTCACCATTTTCTAATGAAAGGAGACATTACAAACATGCAGTATTATAAAAGAATTGTGTTTTATATTCTATCAGGAGTATGAACCAATATATAGAGCAAGACAGTGTGTAGAATTTACAGATAATACATCTACAGGTATTTATTATATAGAGGATATTGGAAGCTGACTTATGTGGTTCTAATGTGTTTCTAGCTTTGATTATAAACAATACACTAGATATATTGAAGATCTTTTTTGGGAGTATTCATATAGACATATAGGCAGAATTAAAACTGTTCAATATAAATTTAAACTTGGCATGTTGTTACAATATGATAACAAACATTTTAAGCAATAAATTGAATTTGATGTCACTGATCTTATTTTTAAGATTGTATTCTAATAGTAGTGATATTCTTAATCACTAAAGAAATGTTATAATATAATAAAATTTAAGTTGACTTGAAGTTTTAAGGTTTTTATTGTAGTTTTTCTGATCTTTTCCTTATATTATACAGATTTACATTTTGCAGTTATGATTTTCATGCAATTTATATTTCAGGTTCTTTAAAGAGAAAATACCAAGTAGACTCAGATGAAACTTTACATTCAGAATCATCATCAATGATTACCTGAATAATGTAAACTTACCCGTTATCTCCCTGTGATATATTATAGTATTACTACCTGAAGTCATTCAGTTTATGTTACCTCCATGTTCTAACTTGTTTATACAGATGTACAAGGAGCTTATAATAGAGAAAAGTTAGATACTGGTGAAAGATAAAATAGAGAATTATTTTGAAACAAGAGATTAAAATATCAATATAACAGACTGTGTTAAATTATGATTAGTTTTGTTATACCGGTGATGAGATATTGAGATATGTTGAGATCGATTGTTACATAGAATGAGATATATACAATTGAGATTATATATACAGTCTAACTTGTCCATGCCACCACGTGTATTAAGCAACTTTTGTCTTATGCTTTTTATCATGCTTTGTCTGAAGAGACCGTTTCATTTAGCGACCGTTTTGGCTGTTTGCCTTGCGCGGTCGCTTAATACAAGTTTGACTGTATAAGATAATATAACTGCTGATCATATTGTTAAAAACAGGGACATTTGGCATATTATGGATGTTAGAAGAACTTTAATTACTATATGCTTTGCTTGTGTATTATATCATAAAGATTACCAGTGATACTCTCTAGGTGTCATATGAAAGGTAAAAAATTATCGGTAACTAGGGTCTTTAAAAATAGAATGGTCTGGAGTCGAACCAGTTTTACGAAAAAAGATGTCTCGGTTGAGTCATGTGATAAGGTTATCTACCGACCATGATCTGTCATAATACATCACCATTTAAAAATCAAATCGGTAGATAATGTTTTGTTAAATTGTATTTAATTTTCGTCCTTTTCTTGATCACTTACGTGATTTGTGTATAGCAAACTATACTGAGTTACAAGACATTTAGAATTGTAGTGAGAAGGGTTTACATAGCATGTTTCCAGACCATTCTGTTTGAAAGACCCTGAACAAATTGATAATTTTGAGAACGCTGTGATTTAAACTAATGGCAAATTTAGCTGGAATTTTCAACCAATGAAATTGAGTTAGTTGAGATATGAAAACACTTGTCAAATTATAGTTTTTTTATTTATTTGGGTTGTCAGACCAAACAAATAATGGTAGCGAAATTTCAGACTCTAATGCTGTTAATTGCAAATGCCGAAAGTAGTCCGCTTTTTTGAAGCGGTTACTTCCCTTTATATGTAACACTAAGGCCGAAAAATTCAGGGGAGATCACTGATTATATTAGCTGATTAAAAATGTTTATTTAATCAACCACTTGTTTACAAGTGTACTCACTGCAAATTATGTTAGACCCAAGTTAAGTAGTCCTGGTTCATCTGGTTTTGATCCTATTAAACTGCAGAATTTTATGTAACCAAACTTAATTCACTGATTATAAATCAAAACTGATACAAATTCAATCAATGTGTGAATCATTTTCTTGTTAAAATAAGTAGTGACTATCATCATGTTATGTGGATTTCTTTCATAATTTTTTACACTCGTGTGAAAAGTCAAATGTTGATAAAAATAACAAATACACATAAGAATAGATATAAGGAAACCACACTGGTCAACATTTATTGAAGGGTTATTGTCAAATATATGTATTAAGGTGTGACATGATTGTCAAATATTAAGGTATCATGTGATAGTTAAATTTTAGGTATGACATGATTGTTAAGTTTTAGGTATGACATGATTGTCAACTATTTAGGTATGACATGATTGTCAAATATTTAGGTATGACATGATTGTCAAATATTTAGGTATGACATGATTGTTAAATATTTAGGTATGACATGATTGTCAAATATTTAGGTATGACATGATTGTCAAATATTTAGGTATGACATGATTGTCAAATATTTAGGTATGACATGATTGTCAAATATTTAGGTATGACATGATTGTCAAATATTTAGGTATGACATGATTGTCAAATTTTAGGTATGACATGATTGTCAAATTTTAGGTATGACATGATTGTCAAATATTTAGGTATGACATGATTGTCAAATATTTAGGTATAACATTATTGTCAAATTTTAGGTATGTTATAATGAACGCTGCTAATGTTGTGACTGTCTCGTGACTATGGCATTGAGAGTACTGTTGCACTGAGCCAAAATATATATAAAAGCAAATGTATATTTCCTATGGTTTGTAGTTCACCATTAAGGCTTTTATTGTTTGACATAGTTTATTGTTATTGTGACTTTACAGCTACAACTTATTAAAACATTCATTTTGAAGCTGAAGTCTGAATTTTTCATCATGGTTAATTTTTGTGAAATGAATTAGCTTTGGAATGTGTCAAAATCTGTTGTTGATAGTGTAAATATTTGCTTTGTTTGTCAGTTTTGTCATTGTTACGCCAGATGTCTTAAACTATGCAACATGAAATTATAAATGTAAGATTATTTTATATTATTGACTTAACTGTCTTCACATTAAAATTATTTAATTTTGCATTCTGAACTTTGTTGTATTTTTCACTCCCGAAATGTGCAATATTATGTTATACATTGGTAATAAAATTGCATCATTGATACCCTGCCGTTTCATTTTAAATAACTAATGAAAAGGTTGTCTATTGATACCTTAAACAGATGACTTTTGTAAGGGCTTTTTTATCGTTGAATATTTTCAGATATCAATTCACGGTTTAAGTACTGACTGCTTTAATGCATCTCAAAATTACTGTTTTCTTGGTGGCATAACCTGAAATCACGTTTATTAAAGCCTTGAATATTATAAATTGTTGACATCCCTATTGCGTTTTTAGCTCGACTATTCGAAGAATATGAGAGCTATTGTAGTCGCCCCGGCGTCGGCCGTCCGCGTCTGCGTTGGTTAAAGTTTTTTGTAAAGTCATCAATATCTCAATTATTGCTTGAGATATTCAATTGAAACTTACAATACTTATTTATAGAAACAAGGTACATCAGATTGACAAGTTGGATAACTCTACCTACAATATTGACAGAATTATGCCCCTTTTTAACTTAGAAATTTTGGTTAAAGTTTTTTGTAAAGTCAAATATCTCAATTATTGTTTGAGATATTCAATTGAAACTTACAATACTTATTTATAGTAACAAGGTACATCAGATTGACAAGTTGGATAACTCTACCTACAATATTGACAGAATTATGCCCCATTTTAACTTAGAAATTTTGGTTAAAGTTTTTTGTAAAGTCAAATATCTCAATTATTGCTTGAGATATTCAATTGAAACTTACAATACTTATTTATAGTAACAAGGTACATCAGATTGACAAGTTTGATAACACTGCCTACAATATTGACAGAATTATGCCCCTTTTAACTTAGAAATTTTGGTTAAAGTTTTTTGTAAAGTCAAATATCTCAATTATTGCTTGAGATATTCAATTGAAACTTACAATACTTATTTATAGAAACAAGGTACATCAGATTGACAAGTTGGATAACTCTACCTACAATATTGACAGAATTATGCCCCTTTTTAACTTAGAAATTTTGGTTTAAGTTTTTTGTAAAGTCAAATATCTCAATTATTGTTTGAGATATTCAATTGAAACTTACAATACTTATTTATAGTAACAAGGTACATCAGATTGACAAGTTGGATAACTCTACCTACAATATTGACAGAATTATGCCCCATTTTAACTTAGAAATTTTGGTTAAAGTTTTTTGTAAAGTCAAATATCTCAATTATTGCTTGAGATATTCAATTGAAACTTACAATACTTATTTATAGTAACAAGGTACATCAGATTGACAAGTTTGATAACACTGCCTACAATATTGACAGAATTATGCCCCTTTTAACTTAGAAATTTTGGTTAAAGTTTTTTGTAAAGTCAAATATCTCAATTATTGCTTGAGATATTCAATAGAAACTTACAATACTTATTTATAGTAACAAGGTACATCAGATTGACAAGTTTGATAACACTGCCTACAATATTGACAGAATTATGCCCCTTTGAAACTTAGAAATTTTGGTTAAAAAGTTTTTTTGTAAAGTCAAATATCTCAATTATTGCTTGAGATATTCAATTGAAATTTACAATACTTTTTTATAGTAACAATGTACATCATTTTGCAAAATTGCATAACTCTGTCTGCAATATTTGCAGAATTATTTGCCCCTTTGAAACTTAGAAATTTTGGTTAAAGGTTAAAGGTCTTCAAAGATATTTACTTGATACTTTACACATGCACTTAGGGTCATAATTTGAGGGTCATAATTGTATGTCACTGACCAATTTCCATAACTCTATCTTGCATTAAGGCTGATTCATATCCCCTTTTCTACTTTAAAAAGTCTCTTGGTTAATGTTTACATGTAAGTTTTACATATCTCAATAACTATTAAAGATATTTATTTTAAACTTCACATATGCAATTAATGTCAGAATTGTAGGTCACTGACAAAGATCCATAATTCTATCTTGCATTTAGGCTGATTTTTCTTCCCTTTTTCAACTTAGAAATTCATGGTAAAGTTTTGCTTGTAAGCTGTTATCTCCATAACTACTGAAGGGTTTGTGCCTTTTTTGGGACAATTTTATGCATCCATAATAATAAAGCAGTGATTTACTTGAGAAAACATCTTAATACCTTTTCTGTCAATTTTATGTATTCATAGGTAATTAGTATTATTATACTCAATAAAACACCCTTGTGACATTACCTTCCAAATAGTCAAGCCAATACTGTATAATTAGACTCTCTCTAAGGGCTATAACATGAATTTATAAAAAAAAATAGCCCTTTTGTGAACTGAGAAAATTTAACATTATCAAGGCTCTTTAACTATCAAGCACTTAGAATAGTCGAGCGTGCTGTCCTACTGACAGCTCTTGTTAATTGTGCAGAATGCGCATGCGCGAAAAGCTAGATTAAACATATCTGTCATATGTTGCGGTTCGGACCGGAATATCCGTACTGAGGTGACCCGCCCATTGGGCGGTAACGAGGCTTGCCGAGTTACCGCCCATGGACGGGTTACCGAGGGACGGATATTCCGATCCGAACCGCAAACATGTCAGATATTTTTTCTTGCATATTCTACAATATTCCATAATATTTTAAATTATTTATCTTTATTTTCAATGGATATTTATATCATTATAGCGGTAACTATTTTCTTACAACAGCGTATGAAATTGCAACTTCATTCATAACGGTAAAATGACGTCATTCTAAAGCGTGCCATTGTACAGCACGCGACTCATCTGGCACCCCCAATGCCAGATGAAATTTCCGGCATGGATAAAACACACGGAAACGCCAGTCTGCTATGCAAGAACAGTTATTCTTGCATATCAGACTGGCGTTTCCGTTAGTCGCGTGCTATACAATGGCACGCTTAGGATGACGTCATTTTACCGTTATGAATGAAGTTGTAATTCATACACTGTTGTTAGAAAGTAGTAACGGTTGTAATGATATAAATTTCCATTGAAGTTAAAGATAAAGAATTAAACATGGAATATTGTAATATATGCAAGAAAAAATATCTGACATATGTTTGCGGTTCGGATCGGAATATCCGTCCCTCGGTCACCCGCCCATGGACGGTAACTCGGCAAGCCTCGTTACCACCCAATGGGCGGGTCACCTCGGGTCCGAACCGCAAAATATGACATATTATTACTATGGAAAGATCGTACTGTAAAAAGGTCTATAGCTAAAATAATGTTATGGTAGCAATGTTAACAGTTATGTAAACTATACTTGGACATATGTTTGTATTCTGTGAGTAGTTTTTACAACATTTTATCTGTTCAATTTTAATAATTTTTAGTTTATTTTAAGAATTTTCAAATAAAAAAAAAATTCTGTACAAAAGACTATATAAGATATTTATATACATGTAACTGATAATAAGCAGTCCACTTAGAGGACTATCAAATAGAGAGAAATAGAATCCCTATGGCAAAACTGAAAATGTAACAGGCTCGGGTTTTATTGAGCCTGTTCATGAACGGCACTGGAAAGTGCAACCTACTGTAAACGCCCGCTAGCACCGGCTTAAGCAGTATTCAACATTTAAACATGTGTTGGTAAAATTTTGAATTTAGACACATCCGCAGATGTGTTCATTCGGCAGTGATCATGGAAATAACAAAGCGACATGCGTATCCAAAACTGAGTTCAATGTTTAAAGTCATGGCTTAAAGTGACATTATGCTCATATTTTCATAGTCAAGTTGAGCTGAATGGACTTTATATTTCAAAAGATTGGCTGTCAAAATGGTGACCAATAGTTGATATTGGAACATGTTTAGGATAAAATAATAAATCTGCCTAAAATTTAAAAAGACTGCCCCACTCTTTTTTATAAACTAAGCGCTGTAGGTAAATTTTAATTGATATTTACAGAAATTTCGTTTGGATCTGTGCGTTATTTATTGTTTATGCAAACTTTATTATTGAATTAAATGGAATTATGGCAAAATGAAAACTTATTTTGATCTTCTCCCGTTCACATACTATGTACCCTTGTATGGGCATAATGTCACTTTAATATCACGAACTCCTAACATACTCTTCTGAGTGAATCAGAAAAGTTCGAGTATTTTTTCTCATGCATGGTGTATATTATTCATAACTCGTAATTCTATTGCATGTATTGTTGAACAAGCTTTTCACTAAAGATTTAATGACATTTTAGGAGCAGAAAATGTCAAATGTTTAACAGGAGAAAACGGGATTCGCAGATTTCAAATATCTACGAATTTTAACAAGAAAGTTTGTTACCGAAACTCCTTTACATTATTTAGGAATTTACGTTTCGATAAGATGCTTTATATTACCGGTATTTTACTAAGTTTATTTTGGCCAATGAGGTTCACTGATTTTCAGTTTGAAATTTTACAATGACCAATGAAATTCATACATATATTCAGTTCTTTCCTGTTTATAAGTCGAGCGTTTCAGACGATTTAAGTCCACAATATCTTTCACCATGATTCGAACCTACAACCTACGTTTGAAACTGATAGCCTGACACTTGGAATACAGTGTTATAATTAACGTTATCAACAACAAAAAAACTGTCATAAAATGAAGGGAAACACATCTGGACGAGATGCTGATGCTTCATCGATCTAAGTACACTTGTTTTATCCAAATATTAATCATTTCCATAAATAAATGAAAAAGGAAAGGAAAATATAATTAAAATTCAATAATTTTGACGGTCAATGTCATTTAAAGCGTAAGATCAAGGCCAGTTCAATCTTTTAGAAGGTTTTGTCCAAAATGTTGTTTTGTCAAAGTAAGAAGAAAAGTATGAACAATTACCAAGTAAAAGTCAATGCAGAAATCAGTGAAAATTTAATAATTTTACGTTTAAGGTCAAGGTAAAAAAACCAAGGTCAATTTGTGTTAAACACACATGAAAATCATTTACGCCTACTATATTCATAATGTGACACAATTAAACAATTTCTAAAACATGTTTAATTTTGC